CACACACACACACACACAGACACACACACAGAGTCACAAACAAACAACCACACACAACAATACAACAGAAGTCAACCCAGTACAAACCCTCACCCATTACAGCTTAACACCCAGAACTTAACTCGTAACCAAAGCTCGATTCCCTAGCAGTTCAATCGCCTGCTTCGAAACATCAAGTTCATGACCCCCACCCCAGCAACCCCTTCGGATTTCCAGGCACACAACAGGTTAGCCCTCGCGTTAGTGGCCGGTGCGAATAACTACAGCCATAAATCACCAATAGATTATTCAACACGGCTATTGTCCCACCCCACAATCACACGCTTTCTCATCTCAGGGGAAGCTATAAATACAACACAGCAGGACGGTAGCCCATATTTTCTCCTCTTCGCAATGACAATCGTAAAGGTGCTGAAAACGCAGAATAATGAGACAATCTCAGAGGTCTCCCAAAGCTCTTTGTGTGTGCTTAAGTGTCTCTAATGAGGATCAGCAATAATTGTTATTGGCTGCTAAACCCCCGAACCAGACTGTCAGTCAGTCAGTCAGTCAGTCCGCACTGCACAGACTGTGATCGTCCCGGTCAGAAGGTGTCAAGGGTCGTAAGGTCACAGTGCGGATGACCTCCGTAGAGCGGTGGGAAACTGTTTTCAACTTCTTTGACTCTCCGATATCATCACTGGGAAAGGTGAAGGCGACGGGGATAATTCTGTTTACTATAGTGACCATACCCCTCGCTGAGTCGGAAGGTGTCTCGGCTCAGGCAATGGACGCAGGGCCAAGTGGTTCCATCTGAACCATATAGTTGTCGCAGACACAGCTTTTACATTCTCAGGTTCCGTTTGCAATGCGGGGGAGAGCAAAAAGAGTGGAAGATACCCCCCCCCTTTTTTTGGGTACTCCTCCCCTCTCCCCACCCTTAAGTCTACGGCGTGAAGGTGTCGGAAATATACCCGTGCCTTTATCGTGTTTGCCGAGCGGGGGAAGAAGGTATTCAATCTGCTGTCCAGGCGTTGGAGTGTGTGTACGTGTGTGCGCGCACTTGTGTTTGGAGCTAAACAGAGTGCACAATGAAGCGAGGAACAAACCTCGGGAGGCCTAGTGGGAAAGGAGGGGGTGGGTGGAGGGTATGGGAAAGAGGGGGGACGGGTTAGCAGTGGGAACACAAGTACACATAGGCCCACAGAGCGTAGAGCTAAGAGCTCTCAAGCCAGGCCATTGAAAGGTGTATTAGTTGGTGGACTCAGAGGATAGAGAACTGAGGACGGGCAAGGTCACAGTTGGATGAACAGATACACTCCGGGTAGCTGAACAACCTTATGGGGGTTTGAGTTTGAGTCAAAAGAAGCACATCTACACAATAACTGTCATACAGCACAGGAAAGAATCAAGACAGATAGACAGATACAACAAAGAAAAGAAGTAGGATCTACCAGTCCTAGTGGCACCCAGCGCCTTCAAACCAGCCGTATCCTGACAAGTATTAATTCCATCTCAGACACAATCAAGCAGAACAACCTGGTGCTTCAAATAGTCTGGCACGACAGGTAAAAGATACGTGAGAAGCTGTCATCGCAAACAGAATTAAAGTTTTGAGGAAAATAAAACACCTCGACACAACGCCATTTAGGTATAGGAAAAAGCAAGACAAACTAAGAAAAACAACAGAAATAACAGAACGAAGGTAAAACGTTCACATCAACAAACATGCCTGACTCCTTTAACTCTGCTTGTCAATGACAATGAAATACTGAATGGAAGACATCATTCCAGCACCAAAAAATCTTCAGAGGTTGAGAATCGAACCCGTACCGTGTCTTTGTGTGTGCAAAAGGGAGCAATCTGAAATGTATGCCTACATCACAGACACCGGATTGTCTATATTTATAAACGACCTACTTTATCAATTAAGGGAGAGAGAAGAACACCAGCAGTCTGGGACTGCGACTCGAAACCAATTCTCGTCTAGAGTGTCAATCACGAATCGATCTTTTCCACCCAAAAACAAAACTCTCAGCCAGGCGCCAGTGTGCACCCACACCCAGTCAGCAGTTTCGGTCATGGAGCTTACTATACTTATAGATTTGGTACTGAGCAGCCCGCACCTCTTGTTACGACCCTGTGGGGTAAGCACAAACTCGACCTGCTCTTAAATGCCCCCCCCCC